ACCATCTCTCCCAAGAAAATATTAATACCATGTGAGCAGGAATCTTTCTCTATTTTGTTACCTGCTATAACCCCAACACCTAGAATAGTGTCTGGAACAATAGGTAAACACTGTACTAAATATAGTATATAATAAAAATATAAAGAGTATAACATAATATATAATTATATGTAAATGTATAATATATTTATAATTACAATAATTAAATATATGTATATAGTATACTTCTAGTATAATTATGTTATACAATTGTAATAAAATATGTGTATGATATATTTATATCATAATCATATGTTATATATAATATTTGTGTTATTGAGCTGCTATAACAGACATATCATAGACTGGGTGGCTTAAACAACATATATTTCTCATAGTTCTGGTGGCTGGAAAATCCAAGTTCAAGGTGCTGGCAAATTTGGTGTTTGATTAGGGCCAGATTCCTGGCTCACATATATGGCTGTCTTCTTCCTTTGTTCTCACACGGCAAAAAGAGGGCAAGGGAGTGCTCCGGGATCTCTTTTACAAGGACACTAACCCCATGTACGAGGGCTTTACCCTCATGACCTAATTACCTCCCAAATCTACTTTTTAACACCATCACTTTGGGGGTTAGGGTTTAAAAATATGAACCTGAAAGGGACATGCAAGTATTCAGTCCATAACAATATATAAAACATAATACATAATAAATTATATTACATATAATTATAACATATAGTGTATATTTTATATAACATTTATTACATATAATTATATAAGATATAGTATATGTCATAAATAGTAATATTAAAAAGGGACTGCTCAACAAATACTCACTAAAGGAAACAACTGATGGCTGAGATCCATGCCCAGAACAACTCTTCTGAGCCCTGAAATTTCTTTTCCTCCTGCACCAGCCCTTCCAGTTTCCCAAAGCACCCCCACACCCTCCTCCTTCCCCCCTCCACATCCTTGCTCAGGCTGGCCTCCTGGCCCTGCATGCCTGATCTACCCCACAAGTCCAAACCTTACTCCTGCTTCCCCTCTAGCCCAGGTCAACTACCTAAATTGTTGGGAAGAACTTCCCAGTATTCCAGCCCCCACAGTGGACTCCTTTGCTAGCTGAGGCCAGCATCTGCCCTCCATGCCATGTAAGCAGCCTATGTGATCATGTCCAATTTAACACTTCATCCCTTCTTTGATCATTCTATGTATATTAATCATGCCAGCCCCTATCCAGTAGAACGCAAAACATATTGATAGTTTTGTTCTGAGATCAGGGACCCAAGCTATAGGATTTGCCCCTTATCTTCCCTTACAGTACCTAGACTCGTAGTCTAGGTACACACACTCCCAGGAGAATTAAATACACACATATAATATAATATAATATAATATAATATAATATAATATAATATAATATAATATAATATATGTATATATTCCCAGGAGAATTAAAAACATATGTCCACACAAAAACTTGTACACAAGTGTTCACAGCACTGTTATTCATTATAGCCCAAAAAGCAGAAGATACCCAAATGTCCACCAACTGATAAATGGATAAGTAAATTTTGGTCTATCCATATAATGGAATGTTACTTAACCAAAAAAAAGGATGAAATACTGATCCAGGCTTCAACATATATGAACCTTGAAAATAATATGCTTAGAAAACAAACCTATGGTTACTAAAGGGGAAAGGAGGGGAGGGATAAATTAGGAGTTTGAAATTAACAGATACACACTAGTGTGTATAAAATAGATAAACAGCAAGGATCTACTATTAGCAGAGGGAACTGTATTCAATATCTTGCAATAACCTATAATGGAAAAGAATCTGGAAAAAAATATTATATATATATACATGGGTATATATAATTAAATCACTTTGCTGTACACCTGAAACTAATACAACATTGTAAATCAACGATACTTCAATTTAAAAAAAAAGAAATAAAAATAGATGTTTGAACATATGTATTGTATGTATGTGCATGTGCTGTATTTTATATAAGATACATGAATACATACACACATATTATGTATACAGACATACAGGTAGCATGGTAGAGAAAGACATGGATACAGAGAGAAAAATACAGAGTGAGAGACTTTATAGATCTTATCTACCTTATTCACTCTCAGTTTAATTTCATGTACAGAGGAAAATGCACTAGAAAATAAAAATTGGAAGAGTAGGCAGTATGTTAACCATGACTGTCTTTGGGAGAAGAGAATGTGGGTAATTTTTGTTATTTGCTCTTTCTAGTTATTTAATCATTATATACTTACATAACCTTTGCAATTCGTGTAGTATTTTAAATAAAAAAGTTTTATATCCAAATTTCCAGTCATTTCTAATAAAAAGTGTATCAACAAAACGTAATTATTGCATCTTTCGTCAAGAAATAAAACTCACACCATGTTTTCTATCATTATGAAATGAAATTTGGCCATAGTAAATAGTATCGGCCAATAAAATGAAACTTGAATGGCTCACTTTAATTAAGCATTAAATGAACATATGCTACGAAAAAGCAGGCATTGAAGACGGCGCCTCAAATCATTCTTAAAACATCCTAAATTCAATATTACAACTTTAATTCACCCAAGGTAACATTATACAACTACATGTAACACATTTCGAAATAACAAAGTCACATGAAATTTTAAAGTAAAAAGAATTCAGAGACGTCTCCAGTTAAATGTTACATGGGATTTATCATTCTGTCAGCCAATGTACCTAGGAAGCAAGGTGATTGATACTTATCTTTGCTTTGTGTAGAATGGAGGCACATGGCTTTTCTTTTCTTCTTTTTTTTGTGGGGTGGGTAGGTGGGTGGGAGGCAATTAGTTTTATTTATTTATTTTCAGAGGAGGTACTGGGGATTGAACCCAGGACCTCATGCATGCTAAGCATGTGCTCTACCACCTGAGCAATACTACCCCTCCTTGTTTTTTAACATGGCTTTAAGTACTTTTCAGTATAGCACTATTGAAAGCAGAGTCAAAATTAAATCAGGAAACTCTGCTTTCTGTATTAGTTTATTCTTGGGATTTTTTTGTTGTTTTTTTTTTGGTACTGGCTCTGTTCTACCAGGCAAAAGGGATGAATGGGGATTTCACAGTCCTCCAAAAGCTTCTCCAGACCTTAGTTTACCGAACCTTATCATATCACATTAGAACAATTTGCAAAGATGGAGAGGAAACTTCAGACGAGGAGGACCCAGATCAGAAGAAAATAGCCAACTACCTTCCCTACTTTGTAGCTCAGCAGAAACTGGGAAGAGAAAAACATAATCCGGCTCTTGGTGTGCGTGTTGGGGCCTGGGAGGTGCGGTATGTGGCAGACAGGCCCGGAGGCCCTACCTCACCTTGGGAACTGTTTTGATGAACATGCAATGTCTCCTACTTTGTAAAGTTCCTTTCCTGTACTGTGTCTGAGCCCATGACTCAAGATTTAAGAAACTTCAGTCTTTCCCCACATTTTCAGGGACAGTGTAGGTGCGCAGACTGCTTTGATCTGATGGATAGTTACAGAGAAGGCCAAGGGAGAGTAAGGGCACTTCTGAGAGGATAAAAACCAATGACGTTAATAATGACCACAGTAACAAGAGTTAGTGGGAAACTTTTATCAGATTATCAAAATTGCGAAATAGTGGACAGTCTACAGCTGGGAAACCTGATACCTGCGTTGTGACTCTAGATTTCTTACGGTCATTTATGTGAGTCTGGGCAAGTCAGAGGCTTTGGAAATCAGTTTCTTCAACTTAGAGATGAGTTTGGGCCAGGTTTATTAAGTTATTAAAATCCCTTTCAGATGCATAGTTGCATCACTCTAAGGTACACACAACTGTGGACACTTAACAACCATCAGGTACTGCTTTGGCAACAGTGAAAAATAACAGTTTCAATCCTATTTAAAGCAATAAGTGAACTACTAACATTTTCACAATGTGGTGCAATACAAACCACTGGAATATTGTTATCCCTGAGAAGTTCTTATTTTCTTACATTAAGAAAATTTTAACCTCCTCCTGATCTAAAAATACGTTTCCTTTTCTGTAGCACTATTTCTTTCTCATAGTTATTATAAAATTTTAGTTCTGAATAAAATTGTATTTTTCAGTATTACTATTTCAGTTTCTAGGGAATTGTTCTCAGAAATGTTTAAGGTTTACTTATTGGTTTTTTATTTTTATTTTTAGAGGAGGTGCTGCGGATTGAACCCAGGACCTTGTGTGTGCTAAGCATGCACTCTACCACTTGATATATATTTTCCCCACTTAGTAATGTTTTAAATTATTCATTAAAGTCCTACTTACTTTGAGGTGTCAGTATTCTTCAAGTGATCAATACAGTTTACAGAACTAGAAGTTTAATCTGAAAATCTATAGGCTTTTAGTGTCTTTGAGTTAATATTCCTTCATATTATAATGAAAACTTAATGAAAGTTAATGATATTGATATCTGATAATTTCTAAGGAAAAATGGGGAAATGCCTCTTAAATAGATAAATATATTGAGAATTACCAGACTTGATTCTCCCCTTTGGATCTCAGAAAGTAAAGAGCACTGTATTTTCACCCAGCTCCCAAAACTCACTTTATTTCTGCTACAGGAGAAGAGGTTGATTTCATTCAATGAGACAACTGAATCTGCACAGCTTGCTGTAAACAGGAAATAATACATTATTTATGACAGTGAGAAGAAAATCCCCATTTGAAATGGGAAATTAGTTGTTGGGTCTTTGCAAACACCTCAACTTCCCACCTCAGCCTACGTCACAAGCAACACTAAGGGATTAGTGTTTAAATTTCTTTTCAGAAGGTCCCAAATACAGATTCCCTCTTCAGTGCTATGGCCGAGCCTGGGCAGAAGGGCCGAGATTTCTTCTTGTAGGCCAAATAGGTGCAATGTCAAATTACCATTATCAGCCCCATCCATGTTAAACTTCTCACAAACATGAGGCGGGGAAATACAGGGCTCGAGGTAGGAAATAAATGAAAACAGTGAACATTTATTAAGCCTTTTATTATGTGCATACGCTTTACATTAATTAACCAGCTTCATTCAATTCCCACAACTAAGAGGTGGTAACAGTTAATCCACTGAACATGATAAATTAGAAGAAAATAATCAGGACATTTAAGTAAATATATAATGTGAAATCTATGACGCACACACTTAAGATCTCACACCCCTAAAAGTAGCTGTGCTTTTTTTCGGTTTCCTTCTACTTCCCTGGAATTCAAAAATACCTTTTAAGCTCTGAATAGTTAATTTAATACAATAAACACTTACCAATTTGTTCTGGTAGGCATTGTGTTTGGTACTATGGAGGACACACGGATGAATAAGAGAGGCTTTTTAAATCCCATGCTGATAACACACATTGCTGGTAATTATTTCAATTTCACGACATATTCGCCCAGTTCCTGCAGTATAAAAGGCTTCTAGTTTCACTTATGAAATTTTAAAAATCTATCTGTAGCACTGATGGGATCTTACAAAGAGATCCATGACATCTATTGTATCTTGCACATATACTGCAGCAAGAAGGCTAATGCTCAGTGTGAAAACTCCTGAGTGACTATCGCAAAGCCTGTTTCATACCCGCTGGGAGTTCTGACATTCTAGTACTAGATACAGGCATTTGACTAATTCCTTAAATATTATGAATTCTTTTTTTCCTTTTATAGATCTAATGAGGTTCACTGTCTCTAATAACAAACAGCCTGTTTCTTAAGGGGAAGATAATCTCTGGGTAACAATTCATGATTCGAGGATCTGAGAGGTAAAACGTGTCTATACGGTTAATATAATACAGAGGTCTTAACAGAACTTACCGAAGAGCATGAACACGAGCATCCGGATTCCAGAGGTAGAGAGATTTCAGCAGCTCTAATCCCAGCTCAGTCACGTGCTCAATGCGTGGTAAGTTCTTTGATTTCTCTGAGTCTCAGTATTTTTTTTATCTGCCAAATGAGGCTAATAACACCTACTCTGAATAATTGTTGTAAAGATGAAAACATTTGTAAAGATCCAGCAGAGAGGATACAACGGCTGCTTGATAAATAGTAACTGTTTATCCTCATCTAACATTGCACTGCATCGTTGGCTAAAGCAGCATTTCAACTCTGGGAGCATTCATTTGGTGTGTGATAAACTAGCTGACCAGTTCCAGTGTGAGTCTGATTAACATAAGGATATGCAGAGACCAAATACAGATTCTTTGGACATTTTCCACCAATTACCTTCCTGCATAGCTGTCTTCAAATATAAGCTATAAGACTCTGGGTTAATTAAGAGGACAAAAACTGCCTCTATCATCTTTATGGCTTTAGTCTGGAAAATAATAATAGTGATAAAGACCTTGGATTCTTGTGGAATTTCCATAACTAATGTACATCACTACCATGAAATGGGATATCTTTTGATATCAATGAAATAATAAATAAAATAATATAGAATTTAGAAAGACACATTTCAGAGGTCCGCTCATTATAAAGTGCCTATGATTGTCACTTAAGCAGGAACAGATAAAGATACTAAAACATAAGGAAACGTTCTTAAATAAAATGCCTTCATGATTGGTGTTCTACTGAACTCAACTGAGCAAAATTCTAACTTACACAGTATAATACAACTGCTTTGAGCTAAAGATTAGTTTTAAAAGGAATAATATATGCATACTCCTCAGGGACAATTCATTTTAAAACGTGAATCTAAATGCACAATCATTCACAAATTCAATTTTTGTGATTATGGTACCTAGATGGTTTTCTTTTTATATTGGGGAATAAACATACTTAAACAACACGCACAGGTTAGTAAAAAGTGATCATGGTTCATCAGACTGTAAGAATTATCAGGACATGATAAAGGGCTATGTATCTGAATGGTAAAAGCAATCTGATTATTAGGTTTTCATTTGAGGCAGTTTATCTACAGTTCAAAAAATGCTTTCAATGCTTTCCTTTCACTGATTAAACTCCAAAGCATCTTTTCACTGTCAGCAGAAATAACCAGCATCTAATTAAAATAGACTCTTCTCACTATAAATAACTGAATGAATAGCTTTAAATTTAGTTTGGCTAAAATTGGTGAGCTGATAAGTAACTAAATAATGCGAGAGTAAGAATTATCAAAACACTTTGGAGAACACAGTTCTGCTTGGAGGGCTCCATGGAGGAAGGGCCTCATTTTCAAGAAAGGAATGACGTTTCTTTTGTTTTCGTTCAATTCTTTCCTGCCTCTCTTTCTTTTCCTAAAAAGAAAATAGAACTATACATTTATATACATATACGACCATTATTTTCAAATCAAGTTGTCTGCTGAAGAACAAAATAATCACAGTAAGATATTCAAATGTCATTTGCTAGTTTAATTGGTTATAAAGCAATGGCAGCTAACGAACATTGCTATTTATACGTATACTCTCAATAGGCATTAATGCACTACTTTAAAAAGAATTGTGTAAGATAGAAAAAAAAAAGACCTGTGATCTCATAATTCAAAGAGAATAATTATTAGAAGTTAGTGATGACTTTCTGAGAACAGAGTCTCAGAAGTAAAGTTCCTGGGTGCAAAGGTTGAACACGTGATGGCAGTAGGGGATACGCCACATTTTTACAAACAGTTGAATATTGAGGCTCATTTTTCTTTGCTTATTATTGAGCTTGAGCACATTTTCATTTCTTTGGCCCTTTTGTGAATTTTCTGCTCAATTGTTGGCTCTTAGAACCACATGGGTATCAGTGCTTTCAAGCTGTAGCAATTTTCATAGAGTAAATACCATCCTTGCAGCGTTTTAGCTACTTTATTTTTAGTCCTTAATTTTTTTACCAAAAAAAGAAAAAAGAAATATTTCAACCACAGACAGCTAAACTGTTTCAAGAGTAATATAATCAAAACCTGTGCACCCTCTACTTGCCTTTTGAAATAAAACATGGCCAATACTTGTGAAGCCCTGTATCCACTCCCTCCCTGCACTTGCCTTCTCTCCACCCTCCGAAGCCAACCATTAGTCTGAATTTCCTGCTTATCGCTGTAGTGAACCTCTTAATACCTTTATTACACATGCATTCATCCCAAACAAGTAATTTTGTTTTGCAGGTTTTTTTGAATTTATGCTAAAAGGTAACATGCTATATATTCTTTTGCAACTATCTTTTATTTATCATCCTATTTCTAAGATCCATCTATATGGAGCTGTAGCTCTAAGTTCACGGATGCCCAGAATTCCAGCATATCAACATATCACAGTTTATTAATCTATATGTTAATCTATTCAGACATCATGTCCTAATGTTTTTTCCGCACAAAGACAATGCTGCTGTAAACATCCCTGTTTGACTCTCTGTATTCATAAGCCAAGATTTTCCCTCCACATGCATGCCCAGGAGCAAAACTGCCAGTTTTCAGGACACGGATATGTTTGACTTTGTTGAAAAACGACAATTTATTCTCCAAAGAAGCTGTAGGAAATCACCCTCCAACCAGCACCTACACTGACTTCTGATTTTGATGTATTAACGATTTTAAAATCTGTATCTGTTCACCATTTCCTTTGTTATTTCTAGGGCCCTTCTAGACTTAGAAAGGCATTTCATCCCCATAAGATCTGATAAATATTGTTTCTTTTTTATTCTTCTAATGCTTGGTATTTTATATTTAATGCTTTAATTCTTCTGAAGTTTCTATTCAGAAGTAAGGTAATTGTTTGAAGCGATTTTATGTTCAAATGTTACAATCTCAATTTTTATTGCCTCGCATCCACTAATTTGTGTTACTTTATTATACAGCACGTCCTTACAAGTAGTAGGTTCTGAGGTGCCCATGGGTCTATTATTCTGCTGTTCCCGTCCCTTAGGGAAATTTCAAAATAGATGGTTAATAAACAACAGATAATTCCAAATTATGTGAATTTCTATGAAACATATAAACAAGCTTTTGTGATTGACAAAAAAAATAATAAAAGCACTTATTTCCAAAGAAAAGCAGACTCGGGGAAAGTCGCGTTAAGTGAGATGTGACGGTTCCGAGGAGCCACTGGTGATGTGCACTGAGGGGAGGGCATCCCAGGCAGAGAGAGCAGTGTGTGTGAGGCTCTGACAAGTGGGGGAAACGCTGGACAGGACAGGAAACGAGAGAGCCAGTGTAGCTAAAGCCTGGTGGGAGATGCAAGATGTAACTAAAACCCAGAGGAGAATGATAAGGTAGATGAGTAAGATGAGGTGGGGCCTCGCAGGCGTGGGTAACATTCAGAACACAGGTTTAAAAAAAAACAAACAAGCTGGTTTAAAAAAAAAGGCGGTCAACAAGTGACTTGGAGAAGAAAAGTATGAGAGGTAAGCTGGGGAACACGGCAGCCAGGGAGGAGACAGTCCCATGCAGAATGCCCAGAGTTCTAGGAAACAGGGCAGAAAAGAATACATTCCATTGGCTAAACGGTCTGGCAAAATCGTAACTCTCAAAGTGTAGTTTTGTGAAAAGGACAAGACTGGAGTTTGTTGAGGATGAAGCGGATATGGAGAACTAAGGAAGGGTAAGCAAACTTTCCAGAAGTTAAGCTATAAAAAAGTGCAGAGAAATATGGGACTGTAGCTAGAGAGAAATGAAGAATTCAGAGTTTATTTGTATGTAAGATTACACATCCTGAGACTTTTGGGGAATAATCCAGGAGGGTAGAAGAATGCTGATTCACAGGAGAGTGGAATGGTACATTCATATTTCATTGCTTGATTGGTACAGTTCTGTTTCCTGTTATTCCGAAAATATTACTTTCCATAGCCTCGCATTTTTAGTAAACCAGGTGAATTTTAGAACCACTGGTTTCCCTGCACATACTCCCTTCCAAGAAGCGACTAAGTATCTGAGGATTACTGTGAAATCTAAACATTGATCTAGGAATACCTCAAATGTTAACGGCATTAGGCCTTTCCATCCTGCAGCAAAGACTGTCTCTTCATTTCTTTAAGTCTCTGCTAAAACTATAAAGTTAGGTGGTTTCCTTGCATTCCAAAAGGGCAGTGGTGTCAGGCAAACTTTGGACAACCCCATCTCTGCCCCTCCTGGACAGCCTGGGAGGAACGGCATTTTGGTAAATTATTAAGATGTCTACACTTCATTCATCAGTACATATATGGAATTGATAATATCATAAGAGGAACACAATAATGTAAGGTTTTCATTAGCATGCAGTTATTCCCATACAACAAAAAGAATGAAGAGAGGTGTGAGTTTTTTGTTTGTTTTATCGCTTTGCTCTTCATCATGATAATGTCTGCATCGTTGCTACTCCTAGTAAAGCAAAGAGAATACCTCCTTTCAGAATCCTAACTGAGAATTAAAAGTTGTATCTGGACCACTGGGGAGGCAAGCCCTCCAGCTGGATAAGGGGAAAGCAGTGACGGACTGTGGCCACAGAAACTGACACGCCTCTCTGTCCATTCCGCCTCACGTGGGGAGAGAGAGGAACCTGAGTGTGATTTTACTAGCAGGCACTAAAAAGTCAGGGCAGGAAATAGGCAATTAAATTATCCACCTTAATATCAATTCATATGAATCAATGCTATCTTGGGTAATGATTAAAAGAGCCTTGTTAGAACGTCCTCCTGACTGTTGTCTGTTGGAGGCTGAATCTTTTGCTCATTTTCTTATCATAGGTAACTATGAATTAATCTGGGAACCAGCATAAAGAAGCATCTTACCTGATCTGTGGCAACAATTTTCCCCTAAAAGAGGTACCCATCTAATCCTCACTCCCCAAGCTAGGTTGTACATCAGAATTTTGAGATATTACTTTACATGAAAATCGAAGTAACTAGTTCTTCTGTAGCGGGGTATTTTTCCATCCTCTTTGCCAATAATTTTAATAAGATATTGGTAAGATGGGGAATAGATTTTCAACATGTTACACACGAATGTTTTCATAGGTAGCACTACCTTTGTAGAGTATACTATATATCAAAACAAGTTATTTTGTCTTAGGTCTTTGATGAGTTTTTGTTCTCCAGAGGGTTGATTAGAATGAGAAAATGACTAAATACTATAATAAAACATGATGTACCTACACGGGACTTAGTCATTAAGGGAATTCTATCACCTTTTCAAGATAATGTGAAAATAAAACTGAAAACTGAAACACTTACATTCAATCCCTACTACCCTAAGTGATACTAGCAGAATCAGCACACATCTCCTTAATATAAGAAGATTTAAAATTTTTCCTAGAACAAAGCATTATTTAAGAGTTTAATCTAAAGAAATCATGGAACACTACTTTCCTTGTTCAAACCATTGAACCAAGGTTGATCGCCTTATTTTAATGCTTTTTCTCTGCATGGATTTATTTAGCATTACAGCACTGCCAAAGTCAACACGTAAGAAACAATAAACTGTTAGTATTTTTATTAGGATTGCATTAAATTTGTAAATTACTCCAGGGAAAACTGACATCTTTACAACATCATTATGAGATTCAGTGCTTGTGTCCATAGGCAGTTTTGTTCCATTTTGATGTCAAGTCTTCATTTGTGTCCTTCAGGAGTGCTCTTAAGTTTTCCTCATACTGGTCTTACACATTTCCTAAGTTTATTCCTAAGTGTTCCATCTTTTTATCTTTAAATAGCCTGCTTTGGGTCCTGTGTGCCTCTCTAGCTACTACTAATTCTAAAATTTAGGTGGAAAAAACAAACAAACAAAAATATTCAGAAGTATTTCGAAAAAGCAATGAAGGGAGATTAATCTGAATGACATGAAAACATATAAAGCCCAGTGTGGTACTGGAATAGAATGAGATGGACCAATGGAACAAAGCCAAGAAGCAAACAGACTCTAAAATATGTGCATGTACCTAATGCATCATATAATAAAGAAACTACCTCAAATCAGTGGGTAAAAGATGGGCTGTCCTATGAAAGATGCATTTGGAAAAACTAAAGATGGAATCACATTTCCCATCATACATCAGGATAAATTCTAAGTACAGCACATGTTAAAATATTAAGATATTCAAATCATAAAGTTATTAGAAAAACATGGGAGCTTTGATCTCAAATTATGGAAAAGGTTCTCTCAACTATGCCTGAAAATCAGAACCCATTAAAAAAAAAGATTGATAGGTTTGACACCTGAAAATAAAATTCTTTATGGAATAATATAAGCAAAGTTGAGAGACCAACAATATAATGGGGAAAAAAATTTGTAACTGGTATCAGAAATGACAGGCTAATTTCCCTAGTACATAAAAAAGCTTCCAGAAAACAGGAAGAAAAAGACCAACGGAAAAATATACAGTTTATGAATTGACACTTTACAGAAAACAAAATACAAATAATCCTTATCCAAATGAAAAGATGCTCAAGCTCGGCCCTAATCAGAGAAAAATGTAAATTAAAAAATAATCTGGATGATACACATTTTTTTAAACTAGCTGATAGACAGAAACTCAGAAAAAGTTTGATAAGTAACGCTGCTGGATCCTGAGTCCTGTGGAGAAATCCTGCACTTTTTGATTGCTGAATCACTGAACGTGTTAGCTACTCATACAAACGTTGTCAGCTATTCACTTAAAGTACTTATTCATTCGAATGTATCATTAATTCAAAAATTAATTAATAAAATAAGTATTTATATTGGTATTTTAACATAGAAAGTGGTATTTTGTTTGACATAAGGAAAAATAACTATAAACGTTAAGTACATGGAGACAAACAAAAAAAAATGTAAGTCACCAAAGTGAGCGACTGAATGTGGGATGCAGGGAGGGAAGAATATTCTGGCTGAAGTTTTAGGCCTGAGTGCTTTAGGGAACAGCAGAATCATTAACAGAAGTGAGTGAACCGAGGCAATTATGATATGTGTTGGATATGTATGAAGACATGAATTTGAGAGATCGAATTCAACAAGGCAGCTTCCAGGTAGAAGTGGTCAGCAGGAATGGAACAAACGGGAATTAGGGACAGAAAAGTCACCAAAAAAGTGCATTTAAAAGACACAAGTGTGTTAACAAGTTACACCTACCAGCCATTTTTCATATTCATCAAGAGCTTGTTTATCTTTATCTTTTTTCTCAGCTCTTTTCAGTTCTTCTTTTCTTTTCTCATTTATTTTCTCTTTTTCCTTTTCCTTGAAAAAAGCTTCCTTTTTTTCATTCCTAGGTAGAACAGTACAAAACACTGCAAAGTTAAAGGAGAATACAGAAGAAAGATTCCCGAACGTATATTTGCAATCATGAGATTGAGTGCCTTAGTAACATTCAAGTCAATGAATTTTAGAAAAGCCTAAAGTGTTATTAATTTAAAATCTATGAGAACATTTATTATTTTGGATTACCATTTTTCAACAGCAGTCAAATTATCTTTCCTTTTCTCAGCAACAGTTTCCTCCTCTTTCCGTTTCTTGGCTCTTTCATATTCTTTCTCTTTTTTATTTTTCTCTTTAAGATATTCCATCTTTTTCTCTTTCCATTTTTCAAAAGCCTGAAAAAGTTCAGAATTATTTTCTTAGTTAAGGTGAATATTATAAGTAAAAACACAGTTAATCACTAATTTTCAAATATTTAAAAATAATTAGGAAAGATATTCGAAGCCCCTGCGTACTTGAAGTGCTTCTCCTTTTCTCACAGCATTTTCTTCCTCGGTTTTCTTCTTGTTTTTTTCCTCAAGCCTCTTTTTTGCAGCCATCTTCTTTGCTTCCTTTTCTTTCATGGCTTTCCAGGCCTCAAATGATGCTAACGCTTCTTCTCTCTTAGCAGCTCTTTTCTATTTTGGAATGATAATAGACAGTTATATGTGTATGTAAAACAGCCAAATATAAATAGATACAACAGACACATGTGCCCTTATCTTTAGTTCCCTTCATATTCATCAAATGAGGTTTCAAAGCAATATATTTAAAATTATTTAGAGAAGTTAATTTATAACAAATGTTTCTGAATTCTTCATTGCATTTAAAAATCTTTCTGAACCCTCCTACACTGTTGGTGGGAACGTAGTTTGGTGCAGCCACTGTGGAAAACAGTAAGGAGATCCCTCAAAAGACTGAAAACAGACTTACCATATGACCCAGCAATCCCACTCCTGGGCATATATCCAGGGGGAACCCTAATTCAGAAAGACACCTGCACCCCAATGTTCATAGCAGCACTATCTACAATAGCCAAGACATGAAAACAACCTAAATGTCCATCGACAGATGACTGGATAAAGAAGTTGTGGTATTTTTATACAGTGGAATACTACTTAGCCATACAAAATGATAAAATAATGCCATTTGCAGCAACATGGATGTTCCTGGAGAATGCCATTCTAAGTGAAATAAGCCAGAAAGAGAAAGCAAAATACCATATGATATCATTCATATGTAGAATCCAAAAAAAAAAAGACAAACACATATATAAAACAGAAACAGACTCACATAGAATACAGACTTGTGGTTGCCAGGAGGAAGAGGGAGGGAAGGTATAAACTGGAAGTTCAAGATTTGCAGATACTGACTGGTATATGTAAAATAAATAAACAAATTTATACTGTATAGCACAGGGAAATATATTCAATATCTTATAGTAGCTCATGATGAAAAAGAATATGAAAATGAATATATGTACGTTCATGAATAACTGAAGAATTGTGCTGTACACCAGAAATTGACATAACATTGTAAACTGACTATACCTCAAAAAAAAAGTCTCCTTTCCTAAGCATTTATCAGATATTGATCTACTACTATTCGTGAGAAGGAACATTTTTTTTGGAAGTGTACTGAACCAACGTTATCAAAACAAACTGTAATAGGCTAAGTGATACTGAGAAATGATTGTAATAAAATATTGCATTAAAAGATAAATTTCAGGGAAGTTACTGGCTTACAGTCAGTCAGAATAAGGTAAATTGGCCAGGTCACACAGTACACCACAGATCTTTGCTTTGACCCTGAGGTTTGACTGACATCAGAGCATAAAATTCTTACTGCATAAACTTACCCCAAATGTTGAAAACATGTGCCAGGTTGGAAAATAGGTAGATGAATGTATAGCAAGTACGTTATTACTTTACGTACTTCAATCTAATCCCATAATATTCCATGTTTGCTCCATAATACTGATTAGCATTAAATGATATAGCGCCTTCTTACAGAGATAACGTAATTTAGAAGTCAAAGTATGACCTCCCTCACTGCATCGTGAAGACCAAATGAGAAGGTATCTGGCACTGGTGGCAGAGAACTCCTCAAACGTGGTGCCAAGGTCCAAGCACGCCCCCTGCAGGGCTGCTCCACACAGTGCCGTGCGCTGGGGAAACAAGTTTCTATCCATGGTGGTATTAAAAAGCACAATGAAGGATCTGCTTTGTTTTGTTTTTTTCAGGGATTTTACTTTAAAAGATGGGAAAGAACTGAGCATGTTGTGGGCTATGGGGCAGGAGTCAGAGGCAGGAGAGACTGAAAGAGAGCCCAGCTCCAGTCCATGTAGGGGCTGGTCCTTAAGATACATACAAAATACAAGACAGAAAAGAGGAAAACTGAAGGGTAATGTCTAAAGACAGTATTCTTGGCTAAGTTGTAATACTGAAGTCAGCTTTTAAGAGTGAAGTAGGTTTCTGGTCACAAGAAAAAATAAGTTCAAAATCAGTAGTGCCAAAGCTATTCCACACATACAAAAAGCAAAATATCTCTGTGTATTTGTGTTTTCATTTAAACAGTTATAATATATTTATATCAAACTAAAAATGTACAAAGTACCAGAGAAATAAAATCAGAAATCAACCCTTTTATATATAAGTTATTTCACTGTTTAAACAGTTGATTCAGAAATACTAAACATTCAGAGAAATAGCTGACTTAAAAATCCAGAATATTTTTCTCTTCTATATTTCAGAATACCTGTTCATTTTGAATCCTTAAGTTTTCACTCTCAATTCTTTTAATTCTGTGCATTTCATGTAAATACACATTTTTCTTTTCTAACCACTCCTGTGAGAACAAGAAAAAGGCTATATAACATTCAAAGTGTCACAAATGAATTAGAATTCATTTCTGAAACATATAATTAAAACTTTAAAAAAGCAAAACATAAAACTTATAAACTTTATATATACTAGTACCACTTTTCTTTTTCTGATAATATTCTAATATATAAAGATGAACAAGAATTAAGAAAATCCTATGTGTGTTATTTTTAAAACAGATTTCAAAGACTAAATATAATGGCTATATATATTAACATTTTTCTCTGAAATTCACATGGACAATTTTCTAAACTGTACTATGTTCTGTATAACAAATAAAACCAAAAAAAGACATTTTTGGAATTGTGAAAAATTTAGGAAAGTTTTTTTTCTATGCAAGTTTAACTTATATACAAAGTCTCAGGAAAGAAAAAAAATTAAACCCCCTCTTGTTCATTACAATATAAACTTTAAGGAGAAAAAGCATAAAAACACATATGCCTTAACTATATTTTGCTTTTGCTATGTTTTTATCAATTGCCATGGCATATTCTCTTTAATGATGGTCAACAACGATGGTCAGTTAAGCAAAGCTTGGAAAGAGGTAATTCAGTACCAAAAAAAAAAAAAAAGCTGTAGATTGCTCAGGTATTATAAAGGAAATAAGTTAAGTATTAAATCATTATTTCTGACAGGATCACTTTGTTCCCTAATAAACAAATCTTACGTAAGTGATCAGTTCTTCTCATTTTTTAAAAAATATTTTCCTTTTCACCTGATAAACAGCTGCCCTTATGTTATCTGCTCCATCAGGCTCTGCGTTCTGTTTCTGTGAGGGCTTTTGGTCCAAGACTCTCAAAGTCCCTAAATAGTGAGAAGTGGGAACTGTTGACGGAGTTCTCCTTAGAGAACTAGATTTCTTTAAGAACTCAGAGGTCATTAATCTGAAAAGATCCAAATGAATCAAGATAAGCTATTACAATTGCACCTGGTAAAAGAAAGATTCATTAGAATCTGCAACTATATTTGCAACTATATTTGAAAACTACATTATAATTCAATAAATTATAATCACTTTGAAAACGATGTCTGGTCTTAGTATACAAAGATCCCCATTCAACATAATTTAAATTTTATTACTTTAAGTTATATAGCTTCAAAGCAATTTTTCTTGTTAGATATTTGTAATTAGAACATTTTTAACAAACACGGGCCGCATCTCTAGTTACATGGAAAAAAAAATTAATAAATCGGTTTTAATAATTTCTTGTATTACTTTGTTACATAAACCACCTTAAATATAAAGTTAAGATTAGTATGCTCTGTTTCAGGGGTTGGTGGGAAAACCTGGCCCACCATCTGTTCTGGGATATAAAGTTGATTAAAACTATGACTATTTCATCTGTTTACATGTTGCCGACAGTGGTGGCTTCCCTGCTACAACAGCAGAACTGAGTAGTTACAACAGCACGCTCGCCACGTGGTCTGCAAAACCTGTCAGAGGTACTCACTGGCAATTTACAGAAAAAGTCTGCCGACCACTGTTCAATTTTACTGATGATAATTTAAGATTCAGAAGGTTTGGATTAGCATTTTTGAGTTAGGCATCCATTATCGTCGGTATGAACAAAGCCGTATTAGTTCTTATCATTTTAATAAACCAATTTAGTCCATAAAGCCTCAAAGTTTAAAGTATAATTAATTTTTCATGTACTGGACAAAGACCCTTAACAGAGAAGTACCATGCTGGGCTTCAGCTTTATTGCCACTTTACTACTACTATCTCAGGAAAAACAAAGAGAAAGAAATTTTATCCCAGGAGCAATGCAGAGCATGGAGGATCCTTAATCAATTCCTTTTTATAAAAGAATATAATCAACTAGGGGGATTTACCATGAAATAACTACTTCATTCTTCTCATGAGATAAAAATTAAGAGAAAATTAAGTAACACCAAATGAAATTTACTTTACAGAAGTTACACCAAAACTAGCTTTGTTGGAATTTGAACCCATAACTGAGGGATACTGATAAATCTATTACCTGCCAGATGCACTGGATGCTCTGTTATTTGCTGACTTCTTATTCTTCGTATTTCTATCTTGAATTGTGTTCTATTAAATAGAAAAAGCCATAAATGGGTTGGTTACTCACTATATCTATCACAGTTAGACTCAGCGGTCAATCTGCTAGTACATCAATATTTTTTAAGCATCTACTATGTGTCAAGAACATCTGTCAGCAGGGACAAATGAGAACATTAGATTTTAGAGAGGGTTGACTGACGATAAACACATAAACAAATGTGACTCGTGAAGGTGATGAATTAGGGGCAGTGACAGAGTGGAGTTGAGGGGCTACTTTAATGAAGGTGATCGGGGAAGGCCTCCCTAAAAGCTTGACATCTAAGACAAATAATGAACAGAAAAGGGCCTCATGAAGTTCTAGGGAAAGACCCTGACAATTTTGAGGACCAGAAAAGGGCACGCAAGCAGAGGCACAGTGAACGGCAGGGAGAAGGGAGAGTGTAAGGTCCGGGAAGAATCATGTGAGATCTCCAGAAAGTGCTCTCCATAATGAGAATCCAGCAAAGAGACCTTACAGGGGTATGATTCAATTCAACCTTAAGAAAGATCACACAGTAGAGAGGTAAGAGTAAAGCCAAGAATTCAGTCAAAAGAAGTATGTTGTAATCTTCCTTGCTATATATAAATCACCTGTTCTAATTTACAATTATCTCTGTTAGACATATCTGTGGCCCTGTCTATAAATTCCAGAATACCTTTCTTCCTTTTAAGGGATAACTTTCTACTTTACACAGACATGTGGGTACTAGGACTAAAATGAGGGCACAGAGTAAACACTTTCCTAACTTGGCTTAGTGTTTTTCCCTAAGGAACATGGTTGAGGACAATATACCTGGAACATGGCTTAATGAACCTTCTTCAAAGAATGTATAAATAAATAATATTCTGTATTTTAAGAGTCCTCTTCAACCACAAGTTTTCAGCTAACACTGTTATCTTCCCCAATAATAAATACATACAGCCACCAGCTAACTGCAGACGTAAAAGATAAAGAAAACTCAGGGGAAATAAAGATTAAAAATGCTATGCCACATCTTTTACAAGTATGGTATTCTGGTGCAATATAGCATAGGGACAAGTAATTCTACACACCACAAACCTGGTTCTCAAGGTAATTCATAATAATAAGATTCCTGAAAATGATTCTGTTCATCCATTTAAATAAGCACAGATGTTAAAAAACGTTTCTTAAAGATTTCCAGTACAGTTTGTAAAATATTTAAAAATGATATTCAAAAAATTATCTTTCACTAATTCAAAATCTCAGAAATTGTCCCAGACAGCTACACTTTTATAACACGAAGACCTACAGAAACCTACTCACTTGTGGGTATGTATTTCTGAAACATTTAAAACTATATTATGGTCATATACCTCTGATAATTATAATGAAACACTGGGTTTTATTATATTCACTGCAAAACTTCTTTGAAGTTAAAATGCCATTGAATTAAGAATCACTTGACAGTATAATATCACTATCAAAAGATGAGTTTTCCACAGATAATTCAGAAGTACCTAACATGGAAGTTAAAATATTTTAAAGTTCTATTTCAAGATTTAAGCTGTAGTATAGAAGGTACAATTTTATATAAATACCTTTGCAGACTCAGTGCATAAGATCCCCGGAGGTAGCAACAGTGGTGGATTATCAACTGTTACGTCATCATTCGTAATCGGTTCAGCTTTCTCCTTTTCTTCTTCAGGGTCATCAGTAATCACTTGACTTTCCTTGGGTTCCTCAAGTGCACTAGTGACAAAGTCTATCAAAAATTCATTTTCGTATGATTTCAAGGAATTATGGTTTTCAGTGCATTCTTCATTCTCACCTATTTTGTGACAACGTATCAGAACTAGATCCCCTTTCTGAATTAATAAGGTGGATAACAGATTCATTTGCTTTCCACTAAATGAGAACTGTATGTAATCTCCTTTTCTTTAACAATAAAATCTACTAAAGCATTTGACACACTTAATACTTAGAATAATATCATATAAGTACATAGATATACCACAAGCACTTGCTGATGTGTAAAACCAAGTAAGTGAGACGGTTTTATCAGTTCTACTCAAAACCCTGTAGCTGGAACAGGAGGCACAGATCTCTAAGCTACTATAGTTACTAACAATGCAGTTGTAAAGTTGTACAGATGCAGAGAATCAAGAATCCATGCACTATACCTCAAAAAAAAAAAAGAATCCATGCAATTCGAGACAAGTCCACCACCCAGAGAATCAAGCCACCCTGTAGGGTTTTATTCCCACTAAGGTGCAGTGTTGCCTCTGACGCAGCACAGGCAGTAAAGGCTTAGTACTTATCCTCTCAGTGCTGGAGGGACAGGCCCAAGCTCTGGCATGGAGGGTTCAGCTTTGTTTTTACAGAATGGTTTCTGTTGCTCTGATCCTAGCACACTTTGGCATGCTCAACAGAAAATCAGTTCTCTCTGTACTGATCACCAACTTTCAGTTCCACTAGGACCCACCTACTGGCCAAACTTGTGTCTTTACTTCCAAAGTCTTAACTCTGCGGCCTTCATTACAGCCATTTTGGGGGACCTCGTTTTGAGGTAAACTAGATTTAATATCACTTTATAATTCCAGTTATACATTCATATTTGGATAGTACTCGTGATTCACAGTATCATTAATGGATTCTTTAGAGCTGCTGATCAATGTACTCAGTGAAAAGAACAAGGACTTTGGAGCCATAGATTCAAATTATGGCTCCGTCACTGGCCTTGGGTATGTTTCCCAATCTCTTTGCACTTCACTTTTTCTCATCTATAAGATGACAAAAATCACACTACATAGTAAGCGCTTAATAAATGTTAGCTACACATTGCAGTCCTAGAAGCGGCTTTGCCTTCAGCTCTCATTAAGCTGTATGTCATAGGAATAAGGGAAGAAATAATGTTAACTACTAGTACCTCACATTTACTACATACTATGGTCCTATTCTGTGCTTTATATGTATTAGCTAATTGAATTCTCACAACCACCCTACTCTTATTATGTTTATTTTAAAGATCAATGTAAAGGGCCAAGAAAGGTTACTTTGCTCATGTAATTGTGCCTGGATTCAAATCCAGCTTAGTCTCTCTCTAAAAGTCCACCTAATCATCATGCTGACTGTTGCAGCAACACATACGGAACAACAGCTCACATTTACGGACTACTCTGCTTGTGCCAGGAATTGGGTTAGCGGCTAAAATGGAGAGTATCACTTAATTTTCACAACAGCCTTATGAGACTGGTCTTATTATAATTTGGGGAGATGGAGGCACTGAGAGGTTAAGTTCTGCATCTAAAATCACATGGTTAATAAATTGCATAGTTGGGCTTAAAACTCAGGCAAACACACATATTGTTCCTATATCTATCTAAATAATTATTAACTATCTTTTACAAGTAACATTCTAAGCAACACAGAGTTCACAAATGAAGTAGAATAATTTGACATAACCACCAGTAGTGGATGCTTTTTCCCCAGATCCTGGTGCAAAGGAGTCTCCAAGACTTTCTTTAAGGGATGATGACGATAGACTTGTTAACCATGGATCCTATGAAAAAAATGTATTTAATATGTAAGTTCAGTTCTCAAGATTTGTTGGGGGGCAATAGCACGGCTCAGACTATTTCGTAACTCTGACATCTGCATTATTAGGAGTTTTCTGCTGAAACACCACAAGTGTTAAGTCGATAGAGGTTATAATATGCTTTACTTTCTAGCCTTGATGTCTTGATCATTAAAAGGGGTCATTAAGAGCTAGTCTAGTTCTGCATTTGTTTTTAGCAAATTTCAAAGCTCCTGTCGCTCTAAAATCAGATCTTATAAATATTTAAGGCAAACATTTGATATCTCTAAGTATATACTTCCTAAGAAAGTATAAAGAGGATAGTAAGTAAAAACCCTTAGTTTCAAACAAATATTACTGGTTGTTGAAATAAAAGTAATTTATAAAACCAAGTAGACAGCTACTTCCAAATATTTTAGATTAAAAAAAGTAGATTTCATGCACTTTAGCTTTCCTCAAAATTATTGCACCTAAAATAAAGTAATTATTGTATCTAAAATGAAATAATTGTATTTGTGTGCCTAAACTAAACAACTCTTAATAGAATAATATTCAAGTCCAAAGGTGACGATATTATAATGTAAGAAGTTTCATTTTGTTGCATAAGTAATAAAACTTAATTTTCTTCCCCACAATATTTTATAGGTACAAAGAAAATCGTATGTCAAGAGCAATAGAGAGAAGCCATCGGGGAAGATGGCAGAGGGGGTGAAACAGTGGAATCTACCCTGAGAGAGGATGCTTTGCCCAAGGAGATTTGCAAGTTAATAGCTTTTTTTCTCGAGGAAACTCCCTCAGCTATGCAGCTCAAGCAGTGGAAGGCTGTAGCCTTGCTGGACTGGCTTGAGGGGTCAGACAATAGAGTTTAGGACTGTAAGGTTAGCTGATACATTTGGAGAAGAGCTGCAGAGGGCATGAACCCTGAAATCTGCATAAAGGATCCATCTCAAACCCCTGGCTCACCTATGCATGGCATAGGAAAGACCCCAGAGGGTTCTGTACAATCACAGCAGCTTGAAAGTGATAAAATTAAGTAGACATTTCAGTCAATGCTTACGGCAAGGGAGACAGAAATGGGAATTTGAGTCTAGACATAGTATCTATGTGCTAGACACATGTTCTGAGGAATATAACAGAATCCAGAATCTCTACAACATATCATTCATAATGCTCAGTATTTGAGCAAAAAGTTAATAAATAGGTAAAGTAACAAAAAAACACTGATACATACTCATGAAAACAAAAACAAAAACAGTCTATAGTAGCCAACCCTGAGATGACTCAGATGTTGCAATTAGCAAATAAGAACTTTAACGTAGGTATCATAAATATATTCAAGCACTTAAGATGAACTATACACATAGTGGCTGAAGAGATGGGTGTATCTTATTACTAGAGATACTGAAAATACAAAAACTATCACTGGAAATTCTAGAGATCAATGGATAGACTTTAACAGCAGATCAAAGATGACAGAAAAGGGCAGTGAACTTGAAGACAGAACGATACAAATTACTCAGTCTTAAAAAACAAAAGGAAAAATGAAGAAACATTAAAGAATTTTAGAGCTCAGTGAGACATATCAAAAATGTGAATGCACATGTAATGAGAAATAAGAGGGAAGAAATATAAAACAAAAAATATTTTTAAACTTCTCATTTACATGGAAAGCATCATTTTACAGGTCCTGAAAGCTCAACAAAACCCAAGCATGATAAACATAAAGAAAACCACACCTAGACATCTTGTAATCAAACTGTCGTAATTCAAAGACAAAAGGCAGTATCTTGGAAAAAATTCTGAAAACAGAAAAAAACCAAAACATTATATACAGAGGACAACAAAATAATGTTTTGCTGATTTCCTAAAAGAAGTAATAAAGGATAGGAAAAATGGAAACCTACAAAGAGCTGGGAATAGGAGAAGGGAACTGTCAACCAGGAAGTATTTATTCAGCTAAGCCAGCCTTCAAAAATGAACATAAAGTAAGTATTTTTTAGATAAGACTGAGAGAATCCATCACTGGCAAATCTACATCAACAAGAAAAGCAAAAATAAGTTCTTAACACTGAATGGAAATAACACTCAAAGGTAATCTGGGTCTAGAGGAAGAAATGAAGATCCCCAGAAATGGTATATATATTTAAGAAAACTATGAATATTTACTCTTTCCTTTCTTTAGTTCTTTAAAAGTCAAAGACAAAAGGTTTAAAAGGCTCTTTAAAGAAAAGTTATAACACTATATTTGGGAATTATATCATGTAGAAGTAATGTACATGACAACAACAGCATGATGGATGAGGAGAGTATATGGAAATATACTGTTATAAGGTTTCTATAGTAAATGTAAAACAATGCAGTGTCGGCTACTAAATTACTATCCTGTAATTCACAGAGCAACCACTAAAAACAGAATGTGGACAGGTGCACCTAAAATGGCAACAGACTAAAAGGTATCTGATTAACTCTGGGGAAAAAAAGGCAAGAGGACTTAAGAGAGGAACAACAGCAACATCAATTTTAAAAAAGATAAAATAAATAGAAAACAAACAGTAATAAGTTGGCCCTAAGTGTACTTCCATTAAAACTATATGGACTAAACACTCATAAATGGAAAAATGGATTCATAAATGGACCACAATTAACAAGCAGATTGTCAGACTTGATAAAAAAGTAATACCAAACTGTTCTTATAAGAGTCCTTTAAAGAAAAAGACATAAATAGTTTGAAAGAAAAGTGATAGAAAAAATTATACCATGCAAATAGTGAAGTACTGAAATATCAAACAAAACAAACTGGAAGACAGGAAGCACGACCAGAGATAGAAACATTTCATAATGCTAAATAGGGCCAAGACATAATAATAACACATGTGAATGTGTCTGACAGACTCATGAAATGCTGCCTGATCTAAAAGGCAGTGCAGAGAAATTCATAAATATTACTGGAGATTTCAACATTTCTAGGTGGTACTTGGTAAATCAACTACACAGAAATTCAGTAAGAGTGGAGAAGATCTGAATGACACTACCAACCATCCCGACCAAACCAAAATTACAGAATATTACATATAACACTTGTGGAACACAGTCTTTGTAAATGCAAATGAACTTTCACAAGGCACACTTAGTCTGGGCCATTAAAAAAAAAATCTCAAAAACTTTAAAAAATGTGAATTCATGTAAGATTATATTCTCTGTTTACAATAAAATTAAATCATAATTAATGCAGAATAGATCACGAGAAGATACAAATGTTTGGAAATAAAATCATTTGCCACAAAATAATCAACTAGTCAAAAAAGAGATCACAAGGAAAATTAGAAAATATATTTAAAGGGATGATGGTGAAAATAAATGGCATAAAAAAAATTGGGTGCTGTTAGTCAGTGCACAGGGTAAAATTTATAGCTTTCAATGGTTTTGATAGAAAGAATGAAAGGCTTAATATGAATGGACACTGAAAGGTAACCAAATCAAACCCAAAGAAAAGAAAAGAAAGAAAGAATAAAGAGTGAAAATCAATGAAACTGGAAACATACAGTAGAAAAAACTAACAAAGCCAAAGCTGGTACTTAGAAAACAAAACTGAGCAATGCCTATCAAAATTTAACAAGAAAGACAGAAAACATGAACTATATATTAGAAGTGAAAGATGGAATGTCATGATAACTATACTGTCTTCAAAAGGATAAGGAAATATCACAAACATTATGTTTATAAATTCAACATCTCAGATAAAACGGACAAATTTCTAAATAGATATAAATTACCACACTGATGAAGTAGAAAACCTGAATACCAAAATATCCACACACACACACACAAAATCAAATTTAGTGTCAAAGACCTCTCCAAGAAAGAAAATTCTAGGCCCAGATCATTTCACTGGTGAATTCTCTCAATTAAGGAAAAAAAAATGATACCAAACTTTTGGTCATACCAACAAACGTTTAGAAAAAAAGGAAGAAGAGACATTCTCTAATTCATCGGATACCCACGCCTGATAATAACATTATAAAGAAAAAATTATAGAAAAATAGCCTCCATAAATATAGATGTAGTTCTAGCAAAATATTAAGAAATCAAATCCCACACTAAAATAGTCTATTACGATCAACCAGATTTTATCCCACAAAATTAACATAAAGCATGAATATGTATCATCATACACACACATACACACAAAGGAAAGCTGGGAAGTGCAAACAGCAAGAAAGAAAATGTCACTCTTTCAATATCTAGCTATGACAGCTGCAGGAAGCTAAGGCAGTAGGGAGGGAGGTGCAGTTTCAAATGAGAGTTCATACAAATTTAAAGAGGTTTGAGCACAGTTGAACTGGATGGAAACAGCCCCTTTCAGAGCCAAAGGTTCTGAGAGAAGGGTTGGACAAAAAAAATACTTGGGAAATCCCTGAGAAGGTTGCCTTGAAGAAGACTCAGAGCCTGGTCAGGAAAATTTTTATAATGAGGAATATGGAAAATTTAGATTATTAAAAATAGAAGCATCTAATATAGCCAACAATGAGATGATAGCTCTACATTATGAGCTATGTTGTGGTCATAAAGGTGAAGGTAGTCTCAAGGTCACCCAGCAACACAGAAACGTTTTATGGATTAAAAACAAAAGTATGATACAAAACATTATGAATGTTAAGATGACAAATATGATAAAACAAGTAAAGAAAAACAGCCCAAAAGGGAATAAAAATAAAGAACACAGTTGTTACTATGTGGAGGGACTATGGGTAGATTTTTTCAATTAATTTTGTCATAGTAGGATGTTACTTTAAAAACTTTAGGAATACTTTTTTTTCCCCTTTAATTAAGGGACACAGAAATGCACTGAAAAGAGAAGTTAGGTGTCACGACCAGTTTGCATAGTGTTCTCTCAAACTTCATGCCTATCCAGAATCTCAGAATGTGATCTGATTTGAAAATAAGGTGTTTGCAGATGGAATTAGTTAAGATGAGAACACACCGGGTTAGGGTGGACCCTAAATCAAATGACTGGTGTCTTTCTTAGAGAAAAGTGAGGGGAGACCAGAGACTCAGGGAAGAGGGCCATGTGACCACAGGGGCAGGGAATGGAGAGAAGCAGCCACAAGCCCAGGAACACCAAAGAGTTCTGACAAAAACCAAAAGCTGGGAGAAGCAAGGAAGGATTCTTCCCTGGAGACTTCAGAGGGAACATGGCCCTGTCCACACCTCGATTTTGGACCCCTGACCTCCAGAACTGAGAGAATAAATTTCTGCTGTTTTAAGCCATCTAGTTTACGGTAATTTGTTACAGCAGCTACAAGGAACTAACCATAGTCACTTGGCCAGACGATTCTACCAAATGTAAAATAATTGTTTGGTTTTGATTAACACCCTCTCTTCTCCTGATTTTTGGAACAAATCAGAACACAGTACACTGAAGTCAGATAGATTTATATCAAATTGCCAGCTTTACTGGTAGAGCTAATCTACAGAACAAGACTGGAATCAGTGGCCCACTGTGCTCACCCTTCTGGTCTGAATTAGAGAGATTCATCCATTCATTCATGATACAAAGGAATTCCTCTGGCTCCCTTTGTTCTCCCTCCCAGGGGGCACACCCGTCCTCACACCAGTACCAGAGAGGAGTCAGGGGAAGAAGGAAGCTCACTTGGCCAGGCATCTAGCTCCTTTTCTCTGATCTGCTCCAGCAGATTATGGAGGAGGAATGTTCTTCCCATACTTTTCCCTTCTGAACCGTGGTGTGGAAGTTCCCTAACCTTAGTGAAGTAGAAACACAGGGGGCCCAGTGTTCTTCCCTAATAACAACACACAGTTGACTCCCTGATGAAATCCTGGAGGATCACATCTCCTCCCATCCTGGCATATCCCCCAAAATATCGCACAGTGCCACGAACGTTCAGTATACATTTGTGGAGGGAATAAAACCAAACGAATAAAATGACATGGCCATGTTATCCTTAGCCATAAATTATACAATTCAAAGATACGCAAAGGAAAACTTATTTATCTATAAAATAAGCTTGTTTATCTATAAAATATAAAATAGATAAATAAGTTTATACTGTATAGCACAGGGAAATATATTCACTATCTTGTAGTAGCTCACGGTGAGAAGGAATATGAAAATGAATATATGTATGTTCATGTATGACTGAAGCATTGTGCAGTATACCAGAAGCTGACACAACATTGTAAATTGACTATAACTCAATGAAAATAAATAAATAAATAATAAAAATATTTTTTAAAAGTTTTGCAATTAAAGTGCTTCATAGATTCAAAAGGGCAACTTTTTTTCATGTTTCTCTTTCTCTGAAATTGCATGCGTCTTATATATAATTCCTGTGTGTTTTGGCTTAATCGGCAGTTTTCTTCTTTCTTAGCAGTACATAAAATAATGCTATATCTTTGCTATGTCTTACAATTGAGTTTTAGACCCAACAGAATATATCTGAAAAAACTTAAAATTATTTCCTTATCAATTGCTGAAGAAAACATGTGAAATACACACACACACATGCATGTACATAAACAGTCTCTCTCTCAAAATCAGATGCAAAAAACTGAATTCAAAATACAATTAAGTGGTAGTGCTAACCTCAGGATCAAGGTTTTCAGAGACAGCATGTTTCTCAGCTTCTCGCTGTCCGCCATTCAGCTCTGGGAGGGACGCAGGTACAGAATGTGCGTCTAATTCTTCACGGAGGGCGGTTTCTCTATCTTCTCCCAGCCCATCTTTCTCCTCCCTGTGGCTGTGCTTTTTCAACATGCTCCTTGGCCGAGGTGAAGGCTTAAAGTGCTTGTCTGCTTCAAGGCTGCTGTTGGTTTCTGCAGAAAAATACAATGTTTTCAGGTGAGTGTATAAAAAAAATGACCACAGCTCGTACTACACCCCAAGTGCCCCCACACTTCCCTCCTGTGCCCCAGCACCTTGGCCCCATGTCCTGGAGAGTCCAGAGGAAGCCCACACTCTTCTCTACACCGAGCTCCAGGAAGTACGAATAAGTTCACAATCAAAACTCGAAAAAAAAAATACGGGGGACGGCATAGCTCAGTGGTAGAGTGTGTGCCTAGCATGCATGAGGTCCTGGGTTCAATCCCCGGTACCTCCATTAAAATAATAAATAAACAAACAAACCAACCTAATTACCCCTCAAAATAAATTTTAAAACACATTAAATAAACAAATAAATAATGAGAGAAAAAATAAAAATTAAAAAGTTTAAAGAAAAAGCTGCCATCTCAGAACTAACTAGTATTCTTCAGTTTTATGAAGAATTAACCCTTCAATGTCATCAACTCTCACAGTATTAAATTTTTTTTTAAACAAACAAAACAAAACCATGCCTCAGTTTCAGCCTTTATAAGACGAGGCAGTTCATCCATCAGACCTTTAACTGAGTGTCTGCTGCCAGGCCCACCCCCCAGATCACTCACAGTCCTGCACCTCATAATCAAGGTGCTGGCAGTGGCCATGTCCAAGGACTTTAGAGGATGGGAAGGGAGCCAATTCTAAACAAATAAAACTATAGGACAGAGGTAAGTGCTGTTACAAGTATGAAGATGATGCCGGTACAGGAAGCAGAACAGCCAACTGTCACCGGAAGAAGAAATGGAGAAGGAGATGACTTATGAGTTGCTGTTCTCTGAGTCCATAAAACTTCGGCAGCAGTTATTAAAGTTTCTCCATCACAATTTCCAGTACTTCTGAGTGTAAAACAACAATCTAATGCTGGTACACTTCCAACCCTCAAAACATAAGAAAGTTTTTTTCACATGAACTCTTCCCTGAATTGTACCTGTTGCACATAACCAGTCCTCCATTGTTCCACCAGTGTATTCTTCTCACTAAGCTTCAAAACTGAACCAATTAACATCTTCCTCCTTCCTATCTCTAAGTGGGCTTATAAATCCTGCTACAAGATTCTACAACCATACCTAACTGGAACCACTATATGTGTGTTGTTGCCAATTTGAGCTATGTCCTAAACTCTGGCCGAACTGTTCAATCCAAAATCCAAGAGTCAACTTAGATTCCTCCATCTACATCCAAGGCACCATGATACCCTATTGATTCTATGTGCTAAATTTCTCTCTCATTTATCACTTTCTTATCCCCACTGCCAGCTCCTTGTCCACTCTTACCTAGGCGACTACCTCAGTGAGATTCACAAAATACACATCAGATCACATCACGCCTCTCCAGAAAATTCTTCACTGGCTCCCCATCACCCAGGCCTGCAGAATAAAAACTTCATTGCTGCTGAACAATATAAATGTAAGGTTTTACGGTCTTGTCCATGTCTACCTGCGCTGCCTTGTCTCTGGCAGACCCACTCAGGAACCTACCCTGAAATGCTAGGCTCACTGTCCTGTAGCTGTACCACATTCCTTCTGCCACTATGCCTTTACCCAAGCTCTCCCTCTGCCTAGGATGTCCGCCTCCTGCTTCTCCTCCTGATGAACACTTGTATGCCTTTGGAACCTGTTTCAGCAGAGTATTGTATGTCTGAAAAGAGGTGGTGAGTCATTTTTTTCATTATCATTTCAGGAGAGGTTCCCTCGTCACAAGTTTTTAAATGCACAACACGGTATTGTTAACTAAAGGCACAATGCCATACAGCAGAGCTCTAGAACATACTCAACTTGTGTAACTGAAACTTTGTCTGGTGAATATCGGCTCCCACTTCCCCCTGCCCCCAGCCCCTCACAACCACTGTTCCACCCACTCTCTGTGTGGGTTTGTCTATTTCAGATGTTTCCCATTTGAACCTTGCTCTGACACACATTAGCACTGCAAACTTACACAAGTCAGATGATACCACACACCCCCGTTTTCCCATTGGTAGCATCAGTTAGGAGGTGCTAAGGTGCTCGTGAGACTTGAGTGAGACAGTATTTACAAAGTACATCGCACAGTGCACCGCACACGGGAAGTGCTCAATGAAACATCAATGACTGCAGACATTTCCTGTTTTGGTTTGTCCATCACTTCAGTTTTCCTCCTCTCCTTTCCCTCCGTGTGATTCTGGTGGACTAACAACTACATCCTGCATACCTCAGCAAGAAGGGTGGGTCCACCGTGCACCCTCTTCCTTCCTGCCCGACTCGTCACAGAACCTTCCCTTCCCCTGCTCATAGCAGGCAGTCACAAGGTCAGGATTCTACCTGGAGTTGGTGGATATGCCTTTAAGGCCATGGAGCGGCAGGATGTGATCTGGAGACTGCTAGGGGCATCTCCACTGCCAAGTGAAGGTCTGGCCGAGACAGAGACCAAATGACAGAAAAATAGGACTAAAGGATGGAGTAACCGGGGCAGTGACAGAAGGGGAGGAGAGAATGAGAGGGTCAGGGAGTCGGGAAGGGAGGACAGAAGAGAGAATCCTGAAGACACAGAAGTACTGATTCTCTACACTTAGTCACACCTAAAGCAAGGCCTTCTGACATCCCTGCTCAATATGGTGATAAATTCCTCTTTCAACTGGTTTCTGGGTCATTTACAACCAAGAGTCCTGACTACAGGTGCTATTATTTGTCAGTTTTTGCTATTAACACCGCTTCCTCTAGGAAGCCTTCCCTGATGCCCTCAGGTAAATTTCTGTGCCCACTTTCCTGTGTTCTTACTGTACCTTTAAGACACCTCCCCACCAAACTGTAGAGTCTTTGCTATGGCCTGAATGTTTGTGTCCCCAGCCAATTCTTCTGTTAACCCAAAGGTATCAGGAAGCTGGGCCTTTGGGAAGTGATTAGGTCATGAGGGTGGAACCTTCATGAATATGATTAATGCCCTGAAAAAGATGCTCCCTCTCCCCTTCCATCGTGTAAAATTACAATGAGAAGTCTGCGACCCAGAAGAGGGCCCTAGCAGCCCATGTGAGCGCTGTGATCTCAGACTCCCAGCCTCCGGAGCTGCGAGAAACAGGTGTCTGTTGGTTAGAAGCCACCCATGCTGTGGAATCTGGCCACAGCAGTGCAAGCGGACTAAGACAGTATTGGAGGACTGGTACTAGGTCTTGTAATGTCATAGTCTCAGTTACCATCACAGCGCTTGTAACAGAGAAATATATTTTACCCACAATAAATTGTGTGGATAAATAAAATGATCTGCTTATGAACAAATGCTGAATAATAAAATGAGTAGTAAAAGCATTACAGAGTGCTTAATTTATGCCAAGATTGCTCTCAGCACTTCAAATATGAACTCATTTCATTGCCTTAAACCTCTAGTGGTGGTTCAACTACTGTCCCCATTTTACAGATACATAAAACGAGGAACAAAGAGGGCATGTGCCCATGGACATAAACTCTGTGTTGTGGGATTAAAGCAGGAGCACCCTGCCAGAAACAAACATCCCTCCCTGCAGCAGCAGTTCACTGGGCACAACAGAAAAGACACACTGGATATTCTAGGGAGTCAATAACTTATCAATTAACTTCCCATTTTTGCATAACTGGGAGTTCAAGATTTATAGATACTGCCAGGTATATATAAAATAGATAAACAAGTTTATACTGTATAACACAGGGAAATATAGTCAAGATCTTGTAGCTCATAGTGAAAAAGAATATGAAAACGAATATATGTATATTCATGTATGACTGAAAAACTGTGCTGTACACCAGAAATTGACATAACATTGTAAACTGACTATAACTCAATAAAACAATAAAAAAAAATAGGAGCACCCTGACTCCAAAGTTCATGATTTTAGTCATTTTGCTGTTAAAATTAAAAAAAAAACCCTGTAAAAATTACTTTCTAGTAAATTCACATTCACTACCAATGTGACCATTACTTAATAAAGTGAAAGAATCTGATAATTGTACTTTTTACAGAAGACAAGCAAGAACAAAGGAAACTTTCAGGTTCTAATGTTTCTATGAAGCATTAAATGACAATCAGCAATATCTCACCACATTAGAACATTAAGTTCTAAACTCTGTAATTAAAAGTCTAAAAATTCAGAGAAAGATAAAGCTAAGCTCATGAACCACATTCCTTCTTTCATGAATGACTCATTCATTTACACATTTATACATTCAAATACTTAATGAATTCTACATGCCAGGCACTAACAAGTAGCCTCAACTTTTTTTTTCCAATCTGAATTAACCTATGGAATAATAATTTTAGGGCATTTTATACCAAAATTCCACTTCCAGAAGCACTGTCAAGTTTTCAGAAAGAAAAAAATAAGTCTATATATTATCAAAATGTTTTGTTTTATAATAAAATGTAAATGATTTCCTATTTTATCAATTATTTTTATAATACATATACTGAATTGCAAATGGTTAGTAATTGTTTAAAAATACAGTATTGCAGTTAGAATCCTGGTGCCATCTTGTGGTCAAATACAGTATTTCCCTATTTGTTTTAATTTGTCATAGTTTTTTTTTTTTTTAAGTATTAAATAGGCAGATTATTGCTGATTATCTACCATAAAGGTCTAATTTCATACCTCTATCTATATCAGAATAATTTTTAGCTTCTATGATGTGCTCACATTTTCTTATTAACCTAATGAAAAGCTTTTCAGAATCAGGACAAATAGGACAAAAACAGCTTTCTAAACTCAGTTAGAACCAAGGAATATTGCCTACTCTATCTTTCTTGAAGAGTCACTGTGCATATTTCTTTATTAATGGCTCCAAGATGTTCTCTCATAAAAAAATCAGTTTAAAATTTCTATAATTCTCTTTTCCCCTTAATACCAATGAACAAACCGTGGAAATAGTGACATAGGGAAATAAGTCACAGTATGATCACATTTCCCTTCTCTCCATTTTTGATTTTACTTGGTACACTGGGAAGGTGCATTTTAGCAAGTTAATTCTGTTTCATTCGGCCTTGTCCTTATGTTTTTACAGAATTTCATAGTTTGAGACAAACTTCAGTAGATTCTTACAACAATTCTGTAGGAAGGAAGAACAGGTTTTCTCCCCCTCCTCATGAGGACAGTAAGGCTAATCCCATCTTTAATTGACATTCAGTGGCTTTTTCCCTAGTATCTCTGCTTGTTCATATCTTCTCCCCATTTGAAAGTAGATGGGATGGTGAGGGTGGAAAACATAATGGGTCCCTAACACATGGATAAAAAAAGCTCTGCCTGAGGTTACCAGTGGTAGCTAATATGTAAAATACGAAATACTTACCAGTACCATATTTAATAATGATATAAAGGAAAGAGATTTTTATTAAGGTTAGCATCAACAACCATTTTTTTCTATAAAACAAAAAAAAGACTGGAAGACCCCCAAACCCTTAACCTTCCACGCCCTCCTTTCTGCGTTGGCAGCCCAGGGGACGTGACAGCGCTTGGTACCTGCTCAGCTCCATCTGTGCTGCTCTGTGCCCAGAGCCCAGTAGAACTGTGGAGAAACTA